TGAAGCAAAAGCTGATAGAATGGAAAAGAGAAACAGACAAATCCACAATTAACGTCGGAGATTTCAACACTCCTCTTCCAACAATCGACAGAGTGACTAGACAGAAAGTCAGCGAGGATATAGAATAACTCGGCAACATCAACAGCAGGATATAATGGATATTTACAGAACACTCCACCTAACATCAGCAGATTAGATATTCTTTCAGGAGCCCACGAAACAGATACCAACACAGATCAGATCTTGGGCATAAAAATTACTCCATAAATTCACAAAAACTGAAATGACACAGCATGTGTTCTTTGACCACAATGGAACCAAACTAGAAATCAATACAAGTAAGATGACAGGAAATCTCTAAACACTTGGGAAATGAAACAATATGGTTCTAAATAATCCCCACGCCCAAGAGGAAGTCTCACTGAACTGAATGACATTGAAACTACATCTCAACATTGTGGCATCCAGCTAGGGCACAGCTCCTTCACAGCTCCTTCTCTGCTAGGAGCTGTGCCCTAGCTGGATGCCACAAATGTACCCCCACAGTCAGTAGGCACTGGAAGAAGATGTGAGCAGTCCCAGGCATACAGGAGAGACTTTCTTGCAGACCAAGTAGCCATTGCTAATCAGGAGCCATCTGATAAAACAGTTCTTTAAAGCAGCCCTACAAAGCGGCCACATACCGGCTGGTCAACAATATCCTATATAATAAAAGGGTAATATGCAAATTGACCCTAACAGCGGACAACCGGGAATGACTGGTCACTATGATGCGCACTGACCACCAGGGGGCAGACGCTCAACGCAGGAGCTACCCACTGGTGGTCAGTGCGCTCCCACAGGGGGAGCTCTGCTCAGCCACAAGCTGGGCTGACGGCTGTGAGTGCAGCAGCGGTGGCGCGAGTCTCTCCCACCTCCTCAACAGTGCTAAGGATGTCTGACTGTGGCTTAGATCTGAGGCTTAGGCCACAGTTGGACATTCCCCGAGGGCTCCCAGGTTGCCAGAGGGATGTCTGACTGCCAGCTTAGGCTCGATCCCCTGGGGAGCGGGCCTAAGCCGTCAGGTGAACATCCCCCGAGGGGTCCTGGACTGTGAGAGGGCACAGGCCAGGCTGAGGAACTCCCCTGAGTGGACAAATTTTTGCGCACTGGGCCTCTAGTATCTTTATACTGACTTAGACAAAAGAGGCTTCTTGCCAAATAGTGACATCAATATTTGGGTTATAGAAAGGTACACCTGTGCATTGTGTACAGTAAAACTGCTGTGTCATTGCCTTTGCACATGCACAAGGCAAATTGGCCTTTACCATCAGGCGTACTCTGATTAGGGTTCCCACAGCAGTGATAAGAGTGCATATACAGCACTAAATGCTTATCTTAGGAAAGAGGACAAATCTCAAATCAATAATCTCAGCTTCCTCAGGAAACTAGAAAAAAAAGAGCAAAATGAACCCAAAGCAAGCAGTAGAAAAATAATAAAGGTAAGAAATCGATGAGACCGAAAACAGAAAAACTGATAGAGAGCATCCATGAAACAAACGTTTGAAAAGATCAATAAAATTGATAGACATCCAACAAGACTGACAAAGACAAAAATAAAGGTCAGTATCAAGAATAAAATGTGGTATCACGATAGCTCAGACATCAACAGGACAATAAAGGGATACAATTGTACACACATGACAACTTAATGAAACGATGAAGTGATTATTTGGAGAGCACATAACCTACCCAATGTGAAAAAATCTGAATAACCCTTTAACTAGAAAGAAAATAGAATTCATAAGTTTTTAAAATCTCCAGGCCCACAAAGTTTCACTGAAGAATTCTGACAAACTTTTAAAGAGGAATTAACATCAATTTTATACAATCTCTTCAAAAATGGGGAAGAGCTGGGGACACGTCTCAGTTCATTTTACAAGCCAGTGTTGGCCTTCTGCCAAGACTAGACAAAGACGATACAAAGAAAAAAGCCTTAAGAACAATATCCCTCATGAACATAACAGGTGTGAGGATGTGGAGCCACTGGAATTCTCTTCTGTTGCCGGTGGGAGTGTCAGCAGTGCAACCGCTTTGGAAAATGGTTTGGGACAACCTACTGGAGTTGAACGTGCACGCACTCTATGGCCCAACTGCTCTCCAAGAGACCTGTACATGGGTAGTTTAGATGTAATGTGTGGTTTATGAATATTCATCAAGTTGTATTCTTAGGTTACATGTCCTTTTCTCCATGTGTGCTTCACTCAATTATAAGTTAACTAGAAAACAATAAAAAGCCTATTGGATCTGGTGACATGAAGATAGCAGGGAAGCACAGTTCTGAGGGAGTGGCGGGCTTTGGGGACCTCAAGTTAATTCCAATTTTACAAATAGTGTGACTGAGCAAAGAGCAGTCCAGGCAGTGGGCCAAGGTTGCAGGATTACTGAGTCGGAGGGCAAGGGCTGGAACCCAGGGAGCAGGGATGCCGAGCCCGTGCTTGCCCACCACACTGCCTGTCTACTTGTCCTTGAGGGCACCAAGGCAGTGAGGACAAAGCAAACACTGGACAGGAGCACTCACACGCACTAGGGCAGTGATGGTGAACCTTTTGAGCTCGGCGTGTCAGCATTTTGAAAAACCCTAACTTAACTCTGGTGCCGTGTCACATATAGAAATTTTTTGATATTTGCAACCATAGTAAAACCAAGACTTATATTTTTGATATTTATTTTATATACTTAAATGCCATTTAACAAAGAAAAATCAACCAAAATAATGAGTTCGCGTGTCACCTCTGACACACGTGTCATAGGTTCGCCATCACTGCACTAGGGCCTGAGGACCCTCCTGGAAGGGCCAGCAGGCACTGCAGCTTGATGCTCCTGTAGATGTCGCTTTATTGTGATGTCCAGGCTGTTGACCAATATTCACAGGACAACCAGGCATCATGGAAGAAAAGATGAAGCATTTTCGTTTACTATGTTTACCAAGACTGGGAAATGTACAATATATTTTTGAAATATTTGAGTTAAGGGACAAACTCTGAGTATGTCTGAAAGTCAACTGTGTTAACTGTCTAATCATCTCCCAATGCCAGAGCCACGCAGTACGCGCACGTGTGCCCAGGCTCCATCCACTTTTTCCAGCACAACCGTATTTTGGTGTTGGAGAGAAAAAAACACACCGTATCATTAGAGTTTTTGAGAAGCATGGAAATTACGATTTTGTAATTAGGCCAGGGTATAATTATAGGCTAGAGCCAGATAATATAATTAGTGTTAGAGCAATCCCTGAAGCTACCACACACAACCACTGTGTGAAGCCTTAATTAAAAAGAGGAGATTACTGTATAAAAGTCATTCATTCTGTCAGTTGCTTTCATTGCAAAAGGTGGGAAGGTGCCCACACATAGGGACTAAATGCAAGAATAAAGGATCTGACACTATAATCACAATACAATAATATCAGTGTCTACAAATGGAAAAGAAGTCACTAATAAAGCAAGATGAGTCAACTCAAAGTTCTTGCTGCCTTAGAGAACATCTTTGATAACTAGTTTTTTAGAATTGAGTTTGCAGTGGAAATATTTCCTGGAAATAACTCAGGAAATTCTTTCCTAATTAAAAAAGGCTTGTGGAATGAAATAGCCGGTAAATCCCTTTTCCAATATGAAGTTTACAGCATCTCCACGTCTGATGTGACTTATCCACAACACACCTATGTGAACTTCTCCCTGGGAAAACACACACACACACAGATGAAATCATTTGCTTATGGTCACACAGACGAGGACCCAGACGAGAACTGTTCTCTAGGTCTAGCACAGTGGCTGTGTTATGGGCGGCTGACCGCCCTGGTGTCTCCACCCGGGACCAGCGAGCAGTCTCCAAGAACCCTGAGTGGTCCTCCGGGTTCAGTTCACCTCCCTCCACGTGGGGTTCCCTCCGCTTGCCAATCCAGTTTCAAGATGCACCGAGTTCAATCTCACGCGTAGTTGCTTCTTTGGTGCCTCACCACCTCTCACCAGGTGAGCAGACGCTTCGCTCGCTGCTCTCCTAGCCACACTGCTCGGCCGCTCTTCCTGGAGGTTTCCTTTCACTTTCCTCTCACCTCTGCACACTCTCTGTGCATTGTTCCCATCCGCAGGTCTAGACAGCGCCTGCGCCTGGACCGCGGTACCTTTATGTAAAATTCCCTCTCCCAAGAGCGACCGAACGGCACACGTGGCTTGTAGTGCACGTAAAAATGACTTAGAAAAACCTCTCCGAGTCGTTCTCAGACCTCCTACATTTATCCACACTGACAAAATGCGGCACAGGTAACAAGAAAAAGGAAACCGTGTAGGGAAATCTGTCTTTAGTGTTTCCAAACATGCCTTAAAACGCAGGCATTGCCTGGAGCGCAGAGGTGAAAGTGATGAATGTTGAGTGGGTATTTTTTCACTTTAACTGACTGATCAGAAGAGTATTTACAAAGCCCCGACTAATGTCTGGAGCTGATAAATCAACACCAAAGGAGAACATTTCAAGCACATTTATCATTTAAGACAAACGGGCTATTCTGAGCATGAAGCTTTCTTATTCATCATTGTAGCTCACCTCTACGCTTGCGTCTTCTCAATGTTAATAACATCTGCATAAGACTCCTCAATATTTAATGCGGACAGCTTGCCTGTTGCATGCCGATGAGGTTAGGATCACGCCTGATCGCCAGCAGGTCAGTCAGCTTTCCAGAAAAAGAGGCTTCCCCTCTGAAGCCTGACCCCAGCCAGCCTTCTTATAAATAGCCGCTGTTGGTTTCAATGCCATAAAAAGCACAAAATTACTGTTTTAAGGGAAATTAAGGTCAAGATATTTTAACAGACTTTCCCAACGGCACCAAACATTGTCATTAGCAAAGGACGCCCAGCATCGTGGGCCCCACGTTTCAGCATTTGTATGACTCAGCTAATGTCCGGACGGTCTGCCAGGTCGGCGTCATTGCACCACGCCCAAACAGCACAGTGCCCAAGGGGACTTACCTGTTCACCCTCCTCTTCATCACTGCTTAGCTTGAGGTCATCTTCTAGCATTCTGGAAGAGGGAACAGAGAGGTACCGATGCTTAGCAAATTCAAATAATTCTCAACAAAATATCTGAATTCAAGCAACGTTTCAGTCATAAGCCTGTTTGATGTACTGATTTGGAAAAGTGTTCGTTTGAAGCCCTTTTCCTGTGATGCACCTAGAAGCAACACACGGCCACGTCATGAAAATTACCGCTCACAGCAGTCACAGCATGAGATGGGAGATGGGGTGCTTCCAGAACGTGAGGCGCGTTTCCTGCGAAGGTTTTCCGCGTGGCAGCGGCTGTGCTCCGTGTCCACCGCCACTCACGGGAACAGGACCAGAGGGCCAAGGGGAACGCTGCGGAGGCTAGCTAGCAAACAACACGCTAGAGCAGCGGTTCTCAACCTGTGGGTCGCGACCCCTTTGGCGGTCGAACGACCCTTTCACAGGGGTCGCCTAAGACCATCCTGCATATCAGATATTTACATTACGATTCGTAACAGTAGCAACATTACAGTTATGAAGTAGCAACGAAAATAATTTTATGGTTGGGTCACAACATGAGGTACTGTATTTAAAGGGCCAGAAGGTTGAGAACCACTGCGCTAGAGGGTGAGCCACGCCGCTCGGGGCTCCCACCCGCAGAGACCTGGACACACCTGCCACAGATCCTGCCGGACAAGGAGAATCAGAGGGGACCTTCCGGGAAGACTCCGAAGGCAACTCCCCCGTGCCCGCAGATCTGTATGACAGCACACTCTTGGGCCCATAAAAGTTAAGGGTAAGACAAAAGACAAAAAACACGTCAAGCCCCGTGATTTCTGATGATGATAAAATGATATTCTTACCAGCACCACTGAATTGTTTCTTTACAGAATATTAGTTTTCAGATTAAGTCATTTCAAAAGAAATCTCACTTAGGAGTGTGCTCCACAGCAGAAATGCACGCAGGCTGGGGCACCAGGGGCGGGTCTGAAGGCCCTGGGCCCCTGCGCTCCAAAGGCCTCACTCTCCTCCTCAGTCACCTTCCAAAGACGGTCCCTTAGAGTGTGCCTCGATCCCTTTAAAAGCCCATCATCAGTATATTCCTCTGAATATTTTAATAAGTCATCTCGGTGACTTTTGGGGTGAACCTGGGAGAAAGACCTGCCAGGATGGGTCGTGGGCAGAGTTCTGCCCCAAGGCTTCATGCTTAGGGCAGGTCACTTAACTCCCCTGTTCATAAAACGAGGTGATTCCTGGCAATCTCTAAGGTCCAATCTGCTTTAGATTCCATAAGTCTAGGAAATAAATCTGCCCCTCTTTTGGAAAGTAGGAAAACTCTTGTATTGTCCTTGAGATCACCACCGAGGAATTGCTAAGCAACCATGGTGTACCATTGAAGCCACAGCTGCTGGGACGCCACGTCCACGTCCTCACAGGCTGCGGCTATGCTGCCTGCCAGTAGTGAGAAGTCTCATTCGCTCATTATTTAAACCTCAAGCAAACAAACAAAACAGCAGCAAAGACTGTAGAGCAAAGACTGTGCCCCCAACTGCTCTTTATGTCCGTCTGGCATGCCATTCATTTCCCTTGATCTCAGGAACTCGTACCCCCGGCTTCCAAGAGGAGACGTGGTGGAGATTTATTAGAGCACTAGTAGCCCTGCGCACGAATCCGTGCGCCAGTAGCTTGCTGCCGCCCCCCAGTAGCTCTCCGCCCGCTGCCCCGCCCTCCTGTAGCTCCCTCCTGCCCCTAGCTCATAGCTTGCTGCCCTGCCCTCTCCTGTAGCTCGCCACTGCCCACTTGTAGCTCGCTGCTCCACCCTCCTGCTGATCTGTGATCCGGTCCTTACGCGGTCGGTCGTTATGCTTCACGGTATAATGACCATTTGCATATTACATCTTTATTATATAGGATTGTTTGGGAAGAAGCTAAGGAGGGGATGGTGTTCTCTTTGTCCTTGAGTCCCTGATGACTAGCACAGTGACGACAGAGTACAGTGCCAGCTTGCTGGCTGGGCTAAGGACACCTTCCCCAAGACTGTTTTCCTACCAAAAGGTACACATGCCTTTCTGATGAAAAATACCAGAGAAGCAGGCCAGTTTCTTGCCTCTAGCCCTTCCTCCCTCTTTTGGGGCAAACTGCCAACTGCAGTTTGGTTTAATCTCACAGACTGCCCTTTGAGCACTGGGTGTTCTACGTGTGGGTGGTCCTGTCAGTGGGTAGGGAAAGGGAGGGGAGAACACACACAATCGTTGCTAACAACCCCCTTGTTGTTACATGGAAGTCCTGTCAGGGGTGACTGAGAAGTTTCATCTTTATCCAGGCAATCGTGTGCACAAATTTGAAGGCCACTGTCAACCGGAGCAGGAAACCCCAAAACCCTTCAAAGCAAGGGATCTTAGCTGGGCTGCACACCAGCTGAGTGACTCGGCCACCACATGAAGCTGGCGCTGCCAACAGTAACCACAACCGTGAAAACAGTGCGTCAGGGTCTCTTCTAAGGTACAGAGAACAGCTCAGTTTTGTCTGTTTTAAGCATGTGCTAAATGTGTGGACAAGCCTCTCACACCCCTGGTCCCAGGCATGGGGCACCTCTGGCCTCGGGTCGGGTCTGCAGTGAGACTCACCTGCCTGGTCATCGCTCAGAGGAAAAGCAGGAGACCCAGCTAGCTTTGGGGGCAGTGATCATCCTACCACCGAAGCTCTCACTCGTATTTACAAAATATATCCTGGCTCATATCTAATAATTGAGGATCAAATGTAAGAATACTCTGCATTCAAGAAAGACTTCAAGAGAAGTCAGAATCCAATGAAACTTCAGAATATCTTGAATCTGAGGAAAGGGCAACGGAAACGCTGAGTGAAACAGACACAACCCAGCGCAATTCTGGCTGCTGTTCTCAACCCAAGAGACGCAGACCCAGTCCCTGCCACCTGGAGCCTGATCCCCAGCAGACACACCAGAGGCCGCTGGGACTCAGCCCATCCTAGAGCCTGACCAGCCTTCTGCTTGGCTCTGAGGGTCACAGCAGAGCCCTGTGACTCAACTTTCCAGGGCACAGTGCTTGTTCCCTTCACGCACTTCATTCTGGCGTAATGTTCATCAAGTGCCCACTTTTAATGCTGGAAATATCAGAGTGGCCTCTGGGGGGGGAGGGCGGGGAGGGTGCGAAGTCTATTTGAGGTTACAGCTGAACAAGAAACCATGGCCAGAGAAAAGAGAGCTGTGACAGCCATGGCATCCTAAGCGCTGTCGGGTGGTGTGGCAAGGAGCCTGTGGCCTGTGCCTCTGCTGAAACGGGTCCATGGCTTCTGCAGCCCTGCCTCCACCCCGCCCCGCCCAGGAAACAACACGGCTATCGTCTGTCCATTTTCAAAAGGAAAGACTGGGCTAGGTGCAATAGACAGGAACCACACAAACGAAAGTTTTAAACCAAGAGTAAAAGGAAGTGCAAACTAAGTATTGGTTAGGCCATGGGGTAGGGGTGGGGACCTCTAATGACGTTTTCGAAAAAGGCAATTCTGATGCTCAGAAGGCTGAGGTCAGCTTAGGATGGGTCACCTGCACATAGTGCAGGGGTGTGCGGGGACCCCTCCTGGCACCCCGCCACACCCCTCCACCCCTCACCAGGGCACCCCGGCTAATGCTGCCAACCACCCAGAGCCCCGCCCCTGCGTCCCCAGATCCCCGCCCCTGCGTCCCCAGAGCCCCGCCCCTTCGTCCCCAGAGCCTTCTTGGTGTCTGAGCTCCTGATAAAGGGCAGCAGCTCTCAAGTTTGAATGATTCTGGCCAGGCCTGCTGAGCACTGTCTAGACCCCCTCAGTCAATCCCCACAGCAAATCCTCTGAGGTGGGCACGCTGGGCAGCAGGCCCGGAGGTCAGAGCGACTGCCCAGGCTGAGTGAGTCCAGCTCTGAGATTCAACCAGCCGAGTGACTGGACACCTGCCTCAAGGCTTTACCAGAGAAGTCAGTACAGGATCCCTGGGAAGCGCTCAGCACAGAACCCGGCGCAGGAGGAGCATCTATAGACGCTCACTTTTATTAACATTCCTTTACCTCTGAGGGTGACTAAAGCTGCGGAGCATTTAAGAAACTTGATGGGTAAACAATTTAGGAGGCAAAGATGTTTCTGCAACGAAGCCTTCAAACTAAACCATTTGCTCTACTTCAGGCCATTCTGCAAAGAAAGTATGTTCTCTGGAAGCTGTGGAGGGGTTACAACTGCTGCTGTGGTTGATTGATCTGAGGTGACTCTACGTCTACAGAAGACAGACAGCATGTCCATCAGTCTGAGTGCACAAGGAGACATGCCCTGGGATCCCGTGGTCAGCCTCGGGGCCAGGAGTCCCTAGCAGGACCCACAGCCTGATGACAACAGGGACACTGAAATAAAAGACAGTAAGGTCACACTTTGCAAGTGAATGCCAGACAGCAGAGGAGCAGCCAGCAGGGCGGAGACCCCAGATTTGGCCCTGAGCACCCGGGGAGCTGCCCAACTGCTGTCAGGAGCACAAGTCAGCGCCCGTTGAGGCCGCCCTGCGAGTCTGCACCAGAGCACCTGGTGCGGAGGATCAGCATGTTTTGAGCCGTGGGCTGAATGGTCTTGCTTTCTTGTATGGACCAGCCGTGTGGAAGAAAGGGTGCGATGGGGCCTGCTCTGCCAGGCGCCCCTCGGGGGGCCTCTCTCTGGAAGGGGGAGACGAGTGGGAACTAGGTCTCACCACCAGTGGCAGCATTGGCGTCCAAACTCCCAACCGTTGACTAAGTCACACGTGTGTTCACCGGGTGGGACCGTTCTCCATGGAAGCACCCGACTGCCAGGGCTGGTTCCCCTCACACACTGCGCTCAAACCAGCACTGCCTTCCCAGCCACTTCTCAGAGCGGATAACCGCGACGCGCAGATGCACGTGATTCTAACAGAGCCAACCGCTTCATCTGAAGAGATCTTCCCTTCAGCTCAGGAAGGTGGGTTCAAGGCAACCCAGCAACTTCCATTTGATTATGGTAACTTCCACGTGTGCACTACTCTTAATGGAG